TGGGTCGTTGGTCTCGAACAAGAGCACTCCGTTACTATCACTTTCAGATACGTCGATAGCATTGGATTTGCTACAACCCATTCTGGCGATACCACCGATCCCCATGACCCTGGCGGCTCTGTCGTGAACGTTACATCCAAGTTCTACCCACGCGGGGGATTGGGTCGTGTCTAAAAATACCGTCCACTATCGGAGGGATTAAATCACTGTCGTCCGGCGGCACCGTTTTCCTCCAGTGTTCCAGCGTCCGGTCCGCTCTCTCATGCATTACTGGGCTTCTTTCTGCGCCCGTGTCAGGACGGCGAGTCACCAGGCTGGTGGTCCCGTCTGGCTCGACCCCTGTGATTAATATTCACACTTTGAGCCGGCTGAGAGGCCGATATGAGACGATCGGTGACAAATGGTCGGGCAGCTGGCGCGATCCGCGGCACCCAGCCCTCTGTCCCTCCCGGCCCTCTCAGTCTCTCGCTCCGGCGCGCTCGGTGCCAGAGTCTGAAATCGCGCACGCATAGCGACAGTGTGCATCAGTGTGTCAGCTGTGGGGTATTGACTGACGGCGCACGACATCAATGGGAAGCCTGGCAGATCGATATTGCGGCCAAGTGCATTTCTAAGAAAGGAAACACCAAACATGCTGATGTTTATTTTGTGCAGGCTGTGGGAAGGCAAACTACATTCAGCCTCGGGCTGCGATTTTGATTATCAGCCTCGGATACACAATATTTGCAATATGTTTATTTAACAGCCACATATAGAGCGCGTAGACATACGAGATACCTCGAGTTATGATGTCATTGAATGTTTGGGTGGGGTCTTGGAGGATCATATTTTGAGAAATGTGGGTTCAACCACCAATAGGCTAGTTGGTTTAGCACAAGGCGACCACAATTTCATCTTCAGTGATTCTCTCTCGGCATTTTCACTCGCCCAAACTGGGGTGACCTTTCGGATGGTCTCTCCACTGCACTGGGTCCGCGCGGTCAGCACTCTGCCATAGTGGCAAAACCTGGCGCGAGGGGGGAGAAGGGAGGGGGCGTGGTCCGGCTGGAGATCGATGGTCCGCCTACTCATGTCCTGTCCCGTTGCCGTGAGCGTTTTTGTAAACACGACCACCGGCTGATGTATGCGCCGGCCGTCCGGCCCGCCGGAGACGATGTTTACCCCGCGAACAGGACGGCTTTCTCCGCGGAGAACAGACACTACTTGACTGGAGACAAAGCGGCCGCAGTTTGGCGGAATTTCGCCGGCCGCAGGGAGACGCTATCTTTGATAACAATCGACCAGCTTAACTAGCGCTGGAGCCTCGTGACAGAATTATGTCCTCTGAATTTAGCGTGCTTGATCCGGGAGCGCTGGGTGTATGAGGGTTCTATAGCATCTCTGTGATAACTTTGCTCATAGTCATTGCATTTGCATGCGCTTGTGATTTGCTATTTGCGATAAATAAGAAAAGCATAATGCCCTTGACTTGCTGTAGATTTGTTCATAGCCCGGTCGCTTCTATGATTAATTGACTAAATGAAATTGACGAAATGACTGATCAGGCTTAATTTACCTGTAGCTGTTGTTGGGTGAAATTATAAAATCAGCTAACAGCTTCGTTTTGAAACAGCTACTGCTGGCCAACATCGTTTTTTACATAAAGAAGTCGAAAGGCAGTGGATGTACCTATTAGCACTCACAAGTCAAAACCAATACTTTTCTGAGAATCAGAAATACATAATATAAATGGGTTGTGAACACTGAACCAACAAGAGTTTATACCATCATATTGCTTTCGTACTTTTTAAGGATACGGTTAACCTTGTCTCCTTGCAAATGCTGCGCACTATAACGCGCTTTATAAATTATCTTTGGCTGTTACCAATCGCTCAATAACTTGGCTTCGACGCACTGGGCTATGAGAACTCGAACCGGAGTTTGTTTTGTCAATAAGGGGAACAACTCTGGGGTTTCGTTGGCTCAGCAGGAATTTATGTTGGATCGTTCATAATTGTGGCGTAATCATTTGTGCTAGACGTAATGTATCAACTGTCTGTATATTTACCATTCAAGCGTTGATGATAAATGCATAACCACAAGTTCCAGTTGTCAGGCGTGCATATTTTTTCTTCAGAAAGTTGTAACAAATGAAGGCATCGTGTGACATATAGTTTTATCGACATTTTCCCAGAATCGCTAGACGGAGGGCGTCACGGTTTTATGGATAATAAATGCATTGGGTCGTCTGTAGACCATGACCGAACGCTGCCTTAGTAATGAGCTGACGTTGCGGCTGGCGCGATTCGAGGGGACCAGAGTAATTGGATCGGAAACAGACGAATTTCGGTCACAGCTAGACCGCCGGGCGTGTCTGCGCGAGCGGCGAGTTCGTAGTACGCGCAGCAGACGGCGTGGTAATTTGTGTCGCATGGGCTAACGCCGCGAATTTGCGACCGTTTCCGCTGCCGTCACCGTCAAACTTGGCCTCACCCCTTCTTCGTACCCCGGCGCCGCCCCGTTCTTTCAGCACCTCTTTACCGCCTTTTCACCACCACTGCCACCGCCGTCACCACCTTTTCACCGCCGTCGTCACCGCCGCTGTGGCGCGTGACGGCTGCGGTTCTATCTCATTTGGAGCGGACACGCCACCGGGCTGGGGAGGGGAGAGGGGTCGTGACCCGTGCCGACTGGCCATTCATTCCGAGCCGTCAGGGCGCCAGCGAACCCCATCCGACACCACCGGTGACCCCTCCGCTGACCCCAGTGTGGTGACTCCACCGGTGACCCACGGTGACCTGCTGGTGACCTATTGGTGATCCAGGATCTTTTGCTTGATTAGCTGTCGTATGGTGATTTGTGACCTCATTTATCTATTATTTATCTATATTATTGACTGAAGGCATAGAGTCCAGTTGCACAGTCCGCTTTTTTCCGCTGCAAAAATAGCGCGGTTGTGCTTCCCACAGGGGTAGCTGGCGGTCGTGACAGGCGCGTTAGTCCCAACCGCCAACTGCCGCCCGACACGACTCTGCCGGAATCCACTCTTCCCTGCCGTGATCAGAAGCGGTTAGCGACCCTAGCGACGCGGTGTGGTAAGTTCAGCACGCGGCTGAGCGGTGACAGAGCCGTGGAGGATGGCTTGAAGGTCCGTTAGCTCTTCTTTCGCTGCGTCGGTTGTAGGAATGCAAGGAGAGTTGACTTTCGGTGAAGGAAGGAGTCAAATTTTGCCAAGGCGGACACAGGGGTTTGCAAGGACATGTGGTCTAGCGATGTTCAAGGCCAATCCTAAGCCAACTGGTTTCGGCAATAGCATTATGACGTCATGACAGCAATGCTGTTGAATAGCCGGTCCACTCCTAATCCGACGTTCTCCCTGCGGGAGATTAGCTCCCAAATTAGACGGACAACCTTCACGGACCAATGTCACACGGATATGTCTGCTGAATTCGACAGCTGCCTGTTTCCCCTTTCCCTTACACTCCTACGCCCGTATGCCTCCCGTTCTTCGTAGCACACTCGGCTGTTCCACGTGTGTTGGCTGTTACGGTGGTGTATGACGACGAACCCACAGCTGTTGTTAGACGGCCCGCAGGGTTGGGACGCCGTGGGTAGTGTTCCCGGGAGTCGACCTTACACACTGGGGTAATGGGGTGATAGCGCACGGTCTAATGAGGCTAATGGTACAGTATCAGACGGGAGGGGTGTGATACCAGCCCGAGCGGTGAGGGATACAAATGGGGTAATGGCGTAATTGGTGGCAACTGTGTGCCTGCTGACAGCAGACGGGTGGTCCTATTCACTCTTCAAATAAACGAGCATGGCGGAAGACAGGGAACAGGATAGAGATGCTCATTACCATTAACCAAGATATGCGACACATTGCCAGAACATTCTCGATGCTTGTGCTTTAGAATAAGAAAAAAATATTCCCGTTTGAGGTCGGTAAGGTCCATTGTTCGACGTAAAAGCTGCCGCTAGCGAGCGGTATTGGGCGCTGTTGCCAAGAACAACACCAGTAACATTCTCACCTAATTGCTATGAGCTCACCGACAGTTACATCACCGGCTGCCAGGCCAGTCAAAATGTCCCCTCTATCTGTGTAATGTGCTGCAACAACTCCCTATTTTATCACGCTGATTCATGTCTGAAGCCGATTATGTTGACAGTAATCACACAGTAAAACAGAGCATAACACTACCGTCAGATGATGTGACTATAAGATGTGTCTGTGGTCTCAGAATCATAGCAACGTTCGCGGTATGCGACTTTTATTACCTCAGGCTGGTGATGAAAACCTTCAAAATAAAGCTGATGTGGCTATATTTCTGTCGTCGTTTTGTGGTTATACAGCACTTTCATATAGTGCTTTACTTTCTGTAAAGCACTTTCATATAGCTAAATTTCAGAGATCAAGGATATATTTTCGTTGGGCATGAATAGATACATGTAATTGTTGTGACGGATGCAGAATGCACATTGTTCTACTGCGCGCTCGCATTATCCAGCTGAATGCTGATTGTTTTCTTTCTTGTAAACACGACTGTGCGACATAGTTCTCCTTCACAGTTGTTCTAGGGTTTACGTCTAAACGCGATCAATTTGTCCATGCTAGAGCTAAGCCTGTTTCATCTGATCAAACCAAGCGTTGAACCCCTGAAGCGTTAGTCCTTTTTCATGAGCAATATCATTTGAATGCAGATGCATTTATCAACGGACTAGAACGGTTAGCATTGTACCGTTAGCTATGTAATCCCTCATATTTCACGCAGCTTGGGGTTCATAATGCCAGAGCAAACATACCAAACGTTATCGGCAATATCCTCCTTTACGACACATTGTTCGGGTAGCGGGCCGGGCTCCCAGGCCCCGCAGTAGCGGCGGCGGCACGGCAGGGGGTCGCGGCCCCTGCAGCTCACGCCCCCGCCGCCCGGCCGCCGCCGAGGAGGCGCCTGCCGTCTGTCCAGGTGGCGCTGCGGTCGCCGGCCGCCGTCCCAGCCCGTCGCGGCGGCGGCTGAGGGAGGGCTGGCGCAGTCGAGTCGCCGCCGCGATCCGAGTCGTGGACAGTGTGTCGCGCGTGTCGCTGTGTTGACCGAGCGCCGTGGCGACGGGCCGTGGGAGTGTGTGCTGGGGACGGCGTGACAGGAGGGACGGACTGAGGAAGCAGTGAGCACCAGGGGCTGCTGCTGGAGGTGCGTGATATAGTTCATTAGTGTCCGGTGTACTGTGTGGTGTCGCAGGCCTTGTTGCGGAAACGGAACCTTCCGTGATAAGGACGAAGACCTTCCGGGAACTGGAAGCGGCCACGCTGCTCGGTGGTGCCAAGTGTTGGGAAAACTACCTCTGGCGCCGTGAAATTGTTTGGCCGTGTTAGTGAGGCTAAAATAGCTTACGAGCGGTGACGCGCGATTTATATTGGCCGACAGTTTCGAGTAGCGGTCTAACCGGGCTTGCCTTTATCGCCCGCGAATTGTGACAGCTGTCGTGGCCAATCGCGGCTCGCGGTTTGATTAGAGTAATCACCGCATTGTGGCAGTGCCAGACCGAGTGGCAGACTGAGCGAGAGTTCGAGCTCCGGACCGACCACCATACCATCCGTCTGGCTGTGTTGGACACTCCGCTCACGCCCACACAGCCGACTGAGCTGAGGACCTCCCCGACCTCCCGGGGGCGCCGATCGGCACCATCTTCACCTCTCGTCGCAGGTGCGGCATATTTATCAACGAGCGCGGCGCGCGCGCCATTTCGCAAGGTGCGTGCGGCCAGCTGGCAGCGGTGGCGACTGGCGACCCCGACTGGGGTGCGACGCGCCCATCCCAACCGGTACGGCGGTGTGCGCGCGCTGTCAGTGGTGAGACGACTGAGTGAGAGGGCTGTGTGAGACGAGAGACCGGTGAGAACTGTGAGACACTGTGAGAGGTCAAGACGTCAGCGAGACACGTCAGGAGCACTTGGGCGAGACATTAGCCAGCATGACAGCTGATGATTTGTGAGACCCACAGAAAACACTCCTGAACTCCGTCCAAAAGTTGCAGACAGAGCGGGACTTCTCGAACTGCCGCTGAACTGTTCACAAAACCAGCAGCCGCCTGTCTGTGGCAGTCAGACTGTGACAGTTTTCCAGCCGTGACGGTCGCGCTGCCACGCCCAGTCGGGGGCGCTCCTGAGCCGTGACACGTCTTTCATCGGCCGACAAAACCTCCCTCCGAGCCGGAGATCACCTTCCTCTGAAGACCCTCCCACGTCATGGAGCACCTGCGGGAGCCGCTGTCCTCGGCGCTGCCGCTGCAGCCGGAACTGCTGCTGGGGGTGCGCCTGCCGCCCACCCAGCCTCTGAAACTCACCTGTGACAATCCGGCCGAGCACATCATCTGCGCCCAATGCAACATCGGTGGACCGCTGCCGGTGCCGCCCAGCCCCAACACGCCCACGCCAGACGGACTCTGCAGGTAGGTGGGCAACCAGGGGTAACCAGGGGAGACCGGGGGTGACCTGACCTGTGGACAACCTGGGTCACTGTCGTACTGTCGGTGCCGTCCAGTCCCAACACGCCCACCCCGGACGGGCTCTGCAGGTAAGCTGGTGACCTGGGGGTGACCTGACCTGTGGAAGACCTGGGGTCAGCCTGGAGAGACTTGTGGATGACCTGAGGGTGACCTGAGGGACCCCGGGGCTGATCTGGGAGCGACCTGGGCTGTGAGCGGCCTTGGTGCGACATATGGAAGACCTGGGCGCCTCCTGGGGAGGCGAGATGGGTGAGGTGGGGCGGGACAGACGCGTGCGAGCATGTGGCGTTGCATGCCTCGTAAGCATACCTTTCAGTGGAATGAAGCCAACACCTAAGTATGGTGTGCACAGCTGTAAGGTGAGCCTGTCAGGAGTGACCTTTCAGTGACATGCTACGGTGTCATTCTCCGGGCTATCGCTACCTCGTTACGGCGGATTGTACGGGAAGTATAACGAAGGATAATCGGATGAATGCGCTAAGCTAATATTTTGATAAAGTGGATAAGGAGGAGCGGAATGATCTCACTACTAATGGGCGATGGTCGACTGAAGTCCTGACGCTGATTTAGATTGTCAATGACATTGCCCTACCAGCTTAGCTGATAGAAGTTCAGTCCGAATAAACGACTTCACTGTCTTACGATAAATGGTCTGCGTCTTTCCGGCGAAAGTCCTCGGAGGACGTTATGGAACTACGGCCAATACATTACGATCGGGTAAGCAGCTTCACATTATTTTCACTCATGATCTATGCTTGCTGCAATGCACATGGTCAGTGATAATATGCACTGGGATATTTTTTCCTCGACGGGAAAGATTTGATGAGGTCATGACAGGAAAGACAGGCGATTTTATCCTCCATTCAATAAGGTTTTCGTCCATTGTTCATTGAATTTGCCGAAAGAATTAGCAGGAAGTTACGACCACTCGCGTGACACATCGAGGGATTTTTAAGCTAGCTGTTAGAGAAAGTGCGTCAATTTATTCTGAAACGGTTATAGCTTGTCAGAAAGGTTCAACAACAAATGATGCATACCTATTGCAGAGAACGCTGCAACATGAACAGTTCTGTAAAGTGTATAGTATAAATCATGCATCGTCATGCCATAATTGCAAAAGAAGGCATGCAGTGGTGACTGGTGAGTTCAGGTAACTGAAAAATGGGCTGCCTGACTCGATCATCAGAACGTGATGGCATGCATATCAACACGTTTTATTTCTTTATTTCACGCCAAACACAATTTATGTTCTTCCCAGGCCATTCGCCTTCCATGGGCGCCAAATTTTGCAAACTGTATTTCAAATTTACCAACTTCAACTCTCAAGGACACGGTAAGTGTTCCCGACTGCCTGGTTCTCCTTGCTGAGACCCCGCCGCTCCGTACTCTGGCCGGGCAGGCGGCTCGTTTGGAGCCCGGCCCGGCGTCTGCTGGTGTGCACCCGGCTGCTGCTGTCCCTCTTCCATGCGGTGGTGCCGAGTTGGCCGGCCTGCCAGCGGTCTCAGTGATCGGAGGTGAACCGTGGCCCCGCCTGGCTCGCCAGGACACTGAGCGAGCGGACCGAGGGGGGCCGAGAGGGTCGCTCCTTGCTGACACGGCGCTGCAGACAGGGCATCGGGGTCAGACAGATCGCTAATCGCTGGGGAAAGAAAGAGGAGAGAGAGAGAGAGAGAGAGAGAGAGAGAGAGAGAGAGAGAGAGAGAGAGAGAGAGAGAGAGAGAGAGAGAGAGAGAGAGAGAGAGAGAGAGAGAGAGAGAGAGAGAGAGAGAGAGAGAGAGAGAGAGAAAGAGAGAGAGAGACGCGGAATAGCGGTGAGAGTAGGTAGATGAGCAGGAAAGACCGATAATGTGGGATCTGGTGTGTTCGTGGATATTCGCAGAACGCACCAAAGCGAGAAGATTCCGCCAATGCCATATGATAATGAAAGATATCTAGCCGCGTGCGCTAGACTTGAGAAATCATTGAGATGATATAAAAAACGTAAATCTTAGAGCTCTGAGCCGTCACAGGATGGCTTCGTTTCACGTTCCACGTTGATGAAGACCATGCTCTTATGAGCCCGCGCCTCTCCAGTCTCCCCCATACCAGCCAGGAATAAACAGGGACATGATGCCGGCATCTTATTGCCATCATGCATGGATTAGTGTTCGTGGAACCCTAATAAACCACCAATTGATAGATTGCCAATTTGCGAGGCCTAAATTTAGCTTCAGCGAAAGTTATGAACGTCCTTGAGACGTTGCCGGCCGCATGTCATATCATATTGTCGACTACCAATGTCGCTCACTAACATGGCCCTATGGAAGCTCGCTGATCGCAATGCCATCACACTAAAGAAGCTTTATCGTTTCTTTTAACATGTGCTGGGAGTGGGTAAGTTCAGAGGAAATATGACGGTTGCACCCCAGGCCCAGACACGATAGAAGGATTGCAAATCTGGAAGTTTAACTGTGCGAACGTAATAAAATGGGAAGTAAAATGCATTGTGCAAGGTCATGACATTACATGACAAATTATTTGAAACCGTTCTCGCAAGCAGGCAATGCTTCACCCGCCAGTGAGGTCATTTTTCGGGTCATGCTCTACCGATTGACAAGAAATAAAGACAGCCCAGTGTGGGAGGTGACGCCATTCGTTCCAACGGTTAGGAGTGAGCAAGTGACGTAGGATTTTGCATCTATCACAATGAGACACCAACCTTTGGGTTCAATTGTCGGAAGTTCACTCGACTCAGAAGGAAACTGAAGCCTGCAAAAAAAGATAGCCACTGCTCAAGAATAAGGTAAAGCCGTCTGTGTCTATCTTTGGACACTATGGAGCTGCAGCAACTGCTGAGAAAATGACTTGCACCGGCTTCAAAACCGGCAAAACCGGTCACATGTGGACATGCCGCCGGCTATTCATGATATGCGGTCTCGTGACGTAATCAGTGGAACTGGGGGTGGCGGGTCCGATCCTTGCCCGTGCTCTTGTGCCGTGTTTGGCTGGGGTAAGTTGTTTGCGAGCTCTTTGTCTGCATTACGTGACGTGTGTTTTAGCTCCCGTTTCTGGCTGGCTCGCTGTCTGCCCTGGCCTGTCTATGTGACCTGTCTTACGTGTACCGAGCGACGCCGTGTTTCCTTTCCTTGTCCGTGTACCGGACCTAGCCCGACCTGTCTGTGTACTGAGTCCCGTGCCTGCCTTTCCACTCGCCATGTGTGCCGGTCTCCGGTGTGTGTTTTGTGACCGCGACGCGGGCCGTAAGGCGCCCCTGATGACGCCCCGATGTGCACTATGCACACAAACAGAGCGCCGGTGGACCGTGTGCGGTCCATTTGGGCAGACGGACTGTGCTCACAGCGTGACCTGACCCGACCGACCTCTGACGGTTCAACAGCGTCTCAACCGGCCCCGCAGGATGCAGGCGAAGTGGAGTGGAATGAGGCATCATTGGTGATTAAATGGACAGTCTTTCAGGAGCTTTCCCTAGACTGGCCTATATAGGACTGACGCTGCTCCATTCTCAGCGCTGCGCAGCGCTGCAGCGGTGATCACGCTTTGTTTCGTGCCTGGTGAACAAAATCGATTATCGGCGGAACAAAGTCGATTAATTGACCATCAGGTGACCTCCGTTTTTATGGAGAAGTAAACTTTTTGTTCCAAGAGTTGAACAGCCACCACTGGGATTCAAAGCACGAATGGGTTTGTTTTTGTTTGCTGTTTTATGCAGAGGTGATTACTCTGAACAGTGAACCATTTGTTTTGTATGATTTCTCCATTGCACAATTTCTGTTGCATGCTGCTTCAGGTCTGGCTATAACGTTAGAAAGGCTTCAATACGTGAAGATAGCATAACTTATGATCTTAACTATCATTCATCAATGATATCTTCAAAGACCAAAGCATGTCGGTGTTCTTACAATTATCATCGCTCAGTGAAGTTGACAGCCACATGTCTGACCGAAATTAGTCATAACCACGCTCATGTGTCGGGTCGACACATCACGCTATAACCTATTCCAATTGTATTTTCCATCCATGCCCACATCATATTTTAAGTAATTCAACAAACCATGAACTTTCGTGCCAAACCGAATCTTTGCCACTTCACGTCGAGTATTTTAAAAGCACCACCATCCTCACCGAGTGCATCCCGCCGTGAAACTCCACCAGCATACCAGCACGGCCGATAGAGAAGGCGAAGGGTCAAGTGGGCTCGCTGGAGGTAAGGGGGCGGTATTTCGTGGCCGTGCTGCCGCGGTGGGCCGTGTCGAACCTCTGTTTTGGAAGTCGGGCCGCGGCCGGTGGCATGCGGCCAGCGCGCGCCGTGTTGCTATGTTTCGTCCCGCCCAGCTCTGGTCTGGTCGACGGGTGTGACGCACGCTCCCTCAGAGGCATTCCTCACCGGGAGCTGCTGTACGCCTTTTTTCCCCGGCGGTGAGCGGATGTAAACAACAGCGTCGGCTGAGCTGTGAGCCGGTGTAGCCGCTCTGCTGAGTTGTGAGCCAGTATTGTTGCGCGCCACCGTGTCTTACAGCAAATCGGTTTGCGTTCTTCACGCTCCTCAGCTCTCGGCATTAGCTCACCGAGACAACGTGACGGTGCGATGGTGCGTCAGAGGAGCGCGCACTCCCCCGAGGACCGCCGACACCTCGTGGGACCGCTGACACTCCCCTGAGGTACCCCACCCTCCCGACGTGTTGGCAGGCGGTCCGGTCACATTCCGATCATAAAGCACATTTGCAACGCCTCCACCGCGGCCGGCGGCTGAGGTAATACGTGCCAGCGTCTGTATGGGACGGTAGAGAAACAAGCCGCCCCGCCCCGCCCTACTGCACAGGCCGCACGGGCGATTTGTGGTGCCCGCGGGCGCCGTCGCTGATGGGTGCAGTTCTCACACAATTAGCCGGTGATGGGGTGCCTGCCGGTGACTTACCCGCCGCTCGTGAATACCGGAGACTTAT